ACACTCCCAGGACAGGGAAAGCACGGGGTTAGATACAGAGTAAAGCTCCCTCTACACCGTCCCCCCATCAAACACTCACAGGGACAGGGACAGCATGGGGTCAGATACAAAGTAAAGCTCTCTCTACACTGTCCCTCATCATACACTCCCAGGGCAGGGACGGCACGGGGTTAGATACAGAGTAAAGCTCCCTCTACACTGACCCCATCAAACACTCCCAGGGACAGGGACAGCACGGGGTCAGATACACAGTAAAGCTTCCTCTCCACTGTCCCCCATCAAACACTCCCAGAACAGGGACAGTACGGGGTTAGATACTGCGTAAAGCTGCCTCTGCACCGTCCCCCCATCAAACCCTCGCAGGGACAGGGACAGCACGGGGTCAGATACAGAGTAAAGCTCTCTCTACACTGTCCCCCATCAAACACTCCCAGGGCAGGGACGGCACGGGGTTAGATACAGAGTAAAGCTCTCTCTACACTGCCCCCCATCAAACACGCCCAGGACAGGGACAGCACGGGGTTAGATACAGGGTAAAGCTCTCTCTACACTATCCACCATCAAACACTCCCAGGACAGGGACAGCACGGGGTTAGATACAGAGTAAAGCTCCCTGTACACTGTCACCCGTCAAACATGCCCAGGACAGGGATAGCACTGAGTTAACTACAGAGTAAAGCTCCATCTACACTGTCCCCCAACAAACACTACCAGGACATTTCTGCCTGATGTAGCCATATCTTATAGAAAATGTTCCTAATCTTTACCAATATTCCTGCCTCAAATGCATCTGACTTTGACAGTATCGGTAAGAGCGACCATATCACAGCCCATATGGAGACAAATTCCACCTTCCCACCGAGAATAACCTGCATCATGTTGTGTGGCACTGTCACCAATCCCCCTGACTCACTGACCCATTGCTTTCCTCCCTTTCAGTTCGGGATGCCTTTTGATAAGGGGGCTATGTAAATGCGAAATCGTGTTGTTGCATTGCAAGCTAAGTGAAAGACAAACACTATGAAAGCCGCACTTGTTTGTTCACACCTCTGACTGCCAAAAGGGCGCTATGCCAGTTCACTGGGTGCCAACTTTCCATCTTAAGTTAAAATAAGTTGATTTTGAACTTGTGCTAGGCAAACCTCCCACTGGCTCTTCCTGGCTGTCAATAAGGAACAGCTCGGAATTTGAAGTCCTTATATTTCTTGGCTGCTACAAAACAGCAGGAGGCCATTCAGCCCCTCAAACCTATTCGAACATTTAATAAGATCTTGGCGAATCTTCAGAGATGTACCATTTTTCCACCCTGATTTTCTCGTGGGATGATGATGGATTAAGTCGCCTTCTGGTCCATTTGAGAGGTCATGGATACACTGCTGCAAGTCTTGGGTCAGCTTGAGTGATAATGCCAGATTTCTGTCCTGAAAGGCCATGAACGGCAACCAAATGCGTTCTCACCACCCTCAAAATGTCACCGTTACTGAAGTTAAATCTAAGTTCCCCAGTTTCTCCTCGTCAACTGAACTTACATCGAATTTAAAAGCCTAAACTCTCCCGAGACGGAGCTGTGAGTGGAAAGCTTAAAATCCTTTCGAGACTTAGCTCAGAGTCTGTGAATCACTAACTCAGTGACATCACGCCACCATTTCCCCTTCACGACTTAACACCTTTAGCCAGCAGAAATTCATTAATCTGACGGATTTATCATTCATTGCTGTCCATGGAAGACTTTTGCCAACGTTCTCCCACCCTCTGAATCGGGAGTGCTTGCCAATCCCGCTTCTAAAAACACATGTTTGGATTTTAAAAATTCTGCCCCAGTCCCAAGATTCTCCAAACAGTGGAAAGATTTCTCTCATCGACTCCTGTCTGCTCCCCTCAGAACCCTCAATCAATTATGCGCTTCACCTTCAAAATTAGGTGTTACAAAGCCTAAATTATGGGATCTCTCCTTGTGATTTAAATCTTACAGTCCTGGGATCATTGTGGTAGCCCTTACAAAGCAGGTCTCTGTTTACTGAGGTCAGAGTCTAGTATCACCCCCAGCAACACCGATAGTATTCTCACTCCTGGAGAAACATTCCTCATTTTAACATCCAGTCTCAACGGTTCAGTGATTTGTTGTTGGGGAGCGCCGCACTGTCGGAGGGTCAGTGCTGAGGGAGCGCCGCACTGTCGGAGGGACAGTGC